TAGACTAACGCAGTTAAAATCCTAACTTACTTATGAACTAAAATGTACAAGTGCTCTGAGAACAATGATCAGAGGCGATAAGAGAATCAGGAAGGGAAGTTAATCCTCCAAACTTGTCTGTTGATCTTCCTTTTAATTAATAGACTAGAGGGAACCACGTAAACAAGTCCTGAAGGAAATCGCACTGCGCTCACTGTGCCCTGGCAAGGGCTGCCCTACTGGCCTTCCTCAACCATCCACCCCACCTCCTCCATGCAGATGAAATCTGTCCATTTTCCTCTAATCTCACCCCTGCTGCCTGAGACCAAAGGACCTCATCTGCCGCCCCCAAGATCCCCTTGGGACACCTTTCCAATCTGCTGTCCTGCCGGTAGAGTCGGGATGACTTTTTTTATTACATGCACCTGATCGTGGTATTTCCATGCTTACAAGCCATGCTTGGTTTCTCGGTTAGACGAACTCCAGAATCCTTCACATGAACTACCAGGCTCCCACCTGCCTTTGCAGCTAGGTGACCACACCGGTGTGTGACCTTTGCTCAGGTGTAGCTATTAGTGCCCCCTTGACCAGTGACAGTGTCTTGGTTTAGATGACATTACTGCCCTCTCCTCTTGCTCGCTAAACTGGGACCTGCCTGGTCCTTCCCAACCTACATTTCATGCCCAATGGGCTCTGTCTCCAAAGTACTTGTCACACCTATGCTACAATGACTATGTGTGTGATTACTTTTAATGCCCACATTCCCGGCATCCTCTGAAGCCCACAAGATCAGGAAGCTATTTGGCTGATTTGCTCCCGGCTCTACCCCTGGGACTCAGCATGGTTCCTGGGACACAGGGAGGGGCCGGCTTTTGAGGTGCTGATCTAATCCCAGGGAGGCTGGGGGTGGGGGGCCCAGTGGAAAGAGAGTATGCTCCGGCTGAAGTGAGCAGGATATTTCCGATAAAAAGAGTCTTAAAATACTCTCCGAATGGCCTAGAGAATGCAGAACAAACTGGTGGCAAATGAGGAAGAAGGTAAAGAGGGCAGTCCTAACTTTTTTTAACCATTTGGTGGAATCGGCAGAACAATTACATATTTAAATGTTTATCTCATGTCTTCGGTACGAATGAACTTTGGGGAAGAGAAATGACACAATCTGGGATCCGGGATGCTGATGATGGCCAAGGAGGAAAACCCAGGGCTCCAATGTTTCTTCTCCCTCAGAGGAGAGGAGGGCGGGAGGGGAAGGGGTGTGCATAGCAGGTGCAAAGTTTGGGATTTCTGGCAGGGCAGCTGGTAAACCAAACATGGGCTCTGGACGTCGGTCCCTCTGAAGTGCATGTGCCGGCTTGCAGAACCCGAAATGCTAAGGGTCATATAAACGTCTACGCGGGCAGGTGCATCTTTATGGAATGATACGAAAGCAAAAGGAGAGCTCAGACAGGTGTCACAATGCTGCAACTCAAAGGACGATACGCTCTGTTCTCCTGCAGTCCGGGTTGTTAGAACGCTCCAGAGTGTTCTCTCTCAGTGAGAGCGTCACTCTGGGGAGCACAGTTCAACGTGAACAATTAAGGACTGCAAATCTTCAGACAACGTTCTGAAGAAATAGTTTGACCCTTTAAATTATTCCCTCAACCAGTATCTGAGGAGTTTCTGCTCCGCGGCAGGCACCGGGGTAGATGCTGGCAAAATGGGGGTGGGGGTTGAGGGGTGCAGAAAGGAAACCAGCGGAACATCGAGTAGTTATAAAAGAGACAAACACACAAGGCGCAGGGAGTGTGAGAGAGAGAGAAGCACATCTGAGCCAGACCTGGGAGGTCAGGCCGTCGCATCTTAAGCTAATCTGGAGGAGTAAGCAAGCGGAGATGGGGCCCGGTCTGCGTGCAGGGTGAAGAATAACCCCTTCTTGCAAGCTGGAGGACTCGTGTCGAGGGACTGTAGACACGAGGAGGGGGGGGTCTGAAGTATGAGGTGGAGAGCAGAAGCTGGGATGGAGAGAAGCGGATAGAATCCAGAACATTCTGGAGGCAGCGCGGCCAGGGCTTGGTGACCCTGTGCTCTGGTGTGAGCAGCTGGGTCGAAGGTGGTGCTGCTCGTTAAGAGAGGCAATACAAGGAGGAGCCCGTTTCCTCTGGGAACAGTGGGTGGTTTCGGGGAGCCCACATCATCTTGGTGGGGACGTGCAGGGGCCACTGGGTGGTTTCGGGGAGCCCACATCATCTTGGTGGGGACATGCAGGGGCCACTGGGTGGTTTTGGGGTGCCCACGTCATCCCGGTGCGGACGTGCAGGGGCCACTGGATATGCAGGCTGAACCTCAGGAGTCAGAACTGAGCCAAAGTTGAGCTTCAAGAGCCACCAGTGTGACCCCCTGGTGGCTCTCAGATGATGGACCCCTTGGGCCACATCACGTATCGCACCTGTGACATGCCAGGCTCTGCTCCAGGTGCTGGGCACAGAGCGACAAAGCAAACCTGTCCTCAGGAGGCTTTCATTCCAATAGAGCCAGCAGGTGAGAAACAAGGAAAGACACAAATAACTAAGATTTCTGGAAGGGGGTCCATGGGGGGCCGGTTCTGTCAGGCTTCCCTCCTTGGACGGTGGGACTTTGGCCCCGCCTATTCCCAGAGCCACCTGGTTGGCTCTTCTTGGGTTTCTGGAGCGGGCCACATGACACACAGCCGAAATGCCCATCCCATTATTCTCGAGAGCCTCCTTCCCTTTCCTGACATAGCGTAAGTTGCTGTTTCTTGCGACACAACTTAACACGCCCCACCACTGTTTCTGGGTTCAGCTGGATCAAAGCCTGAAGTACACAGACAGCTAAGACACCCTGACTCCCCCCAACTGCGTGACTGTCAGTAAGTGCAACGCTATTGACCAGACCCTTCCTGTAAGTCTCAGCCGCAGGATTACTTCATCTGAGCAGCAAGCAGACTTCAAAACATAGGTAGAATGCTCCAAGCACCATTCCTGCTTTTCAAGGAACTTGTTAGATCCGTCAGACCATGGCATTTGTAAAGGAAGAAACACCTGGGCGGGGGGCGGGGGGGGGGGGGGGGGTGTAAAAGGGATCTGTGTGGCAGGCCGATATACTTCAATGGACTTTTACTCTAACGGAAAGCATCAAACGGCCGATTTGCTCATTCTGAAATTGAAACTGCAAACTTGGGATTCTCTGGCCAAAAATGATAATTATGAAGAATATCATCAATATGGGGGGAAAATGCTTCTCGGACAGTAGTAAGCAAGAAAAACAATATAAATATCTGCCCATGTTACAACCAAAATTCTATAAAAATTATCAGTGAGGCCTGCTCAGGCAAAGAGGAGTGTTGGTTTAAACAAACAAACAAAAACAAACAAACATCTTTTATTGGTTTATTTGAAATTAAGACAGAAAATAATTACAGAAAGAGAAATCCTGTAACTTATTAAAGTGACTGCCTCGTTGAGAAACTTCACTAAGGGAAAACCCAGGTACAAATGAACTTGTAAGAAAGAGAGTATACGTTATTTAGAAAACAGCAGCAAAAGGCTCTCTGCATCTTCGGCGAAGACAAAATAAGCTTGTCCCTTTTCAACTAAGTCACCGACACAAAATTTGCAAAAGAAAATGTAAGCAGGCCCAGCACACTGCCAATTCCTGAGACACAGTGTGTGTAAAGCATCAAATGATCCAGTTACTGTGAAGAAGCTTCCTCAGGAGACCCAGCCAGAGTCTTTGGGGGAACTCTTAAGGGGATACAAACTCTTGCAGAAAATCAAAAGGCAAGGATTTGGAACCAAGGGCTGGATATGCTCCTAAGACAGCAAAAAGTTCAAAGAAAGCCATTTTCATCACTAGGCTGTTCCCCCACCTTATTCCATTTTCTAGATGAGGAAGTGGAGGTCCAGAGAAGAGGAGGAATGTGGCCAAGACTTCACAGCAGGCCCTGGCAGGAGAATCTATATCTCCCTCCTCTTTGTCCAAAGTGTCTAGAATGCTTTCTGCCACTCTTAGCTTGGTGTGGCCTCCATTAATCCCCATTCCCAGAGGGGACAGCAGAGCCAATGGTCAACCTGAACTGGAGTCCAAATACAGACACCAAGGAGACGTGTTTCTGCTCTGCTTGAACTGCTTGTTAAAAATGGCTCCAGTGATGCCATTAATATTCAAAGGATTACTAAGAGCAAGTGAGCAACTCCAATAGCTAGGGAGGGGAGGGTGGTGATAATTGGCCTTTCTTGGTCAAAAGAGGAGGACATTCAAACTGCTTTCCTAATTTTCTGATCTGAGGCTTCCCAGGACTGAGCTGGGACCCATGCGATCATGTCCATCACTGTCCCATGGATTCTTGGTGAGGGCAACACCCAGGAAAAGAGGATCAATGCGACTCACACGGCTCAAGGTGCTCTAAAATCTGCCTCACTTTTCTAAAATAAGGAATGAAAAGCCATCACTTCTCTGAATACCGAACAAGCATCATTAAAAGTTTAACTTCTTAGTTTCTTTAAATGAAAGAAACAACCCACATATGTGGTAAGAAGCTACCACTTGCCCTTGGCTGTAACCCTTTAGTGAAAGACTTGCCCAGAGGCTACGGATTCCCTGGATGACATGAGAGGAAGGAGGCATTCAAGGTGCCCCATTAGGGCCATTCCTGAATGTGGAATCGGCCAGCCCAGTACCATGAACGCTCAGTGAATATAGCACACACATGGGTTCTATTTCTTCTCTGCCAATGTGCAGTATTTTAATATAAAGAGAAAGGCAGCCCCACAGATTGGAGTCTTTGCATTTACAAAGGCATCAAAGGGAAGTTATATGATTAACTTTAGCAAATACACATCTGATTTTCATACCCATCCACCAGTCTGGATTTTGGAGAATCCGTAGTCCCAGAATCCCCAGTTTCCTGGGGGAGCTGCCATTGCTGGGTAATTCCCTTAGGGAAGCTGAGAAGAGTAAGCCCAAGGTCCACTGACTTGCCCACACACGGTGCCCACCGGTGGCCGTGTGAGTGCGGGACTTACCTGGAACATCGATCAATCTCTTGTAGACATTCAAGAAGGCTGCCTCAGCTTCTTTGCTTCTTTTACTCAGTGCATCAATCTGAAGAGCGATGGAAGAAGGAAAAGAAAAACAAAGAGCTCAAAATTTGTCAGGAGGTAATTTAGAAATCCTCACACATCTATCGAGTTCCCACAGCAAACAGAAGTCTGACTTGTTCGTGAAAATGCCGGACAGCTGGGCCTTCCTCTCGGGGCAAATGGCTGCAAACACACGAGAGGGAGACAATCCACGCGGCCCCGTTGGTGAGGGGGACGGGGCAGGAGCGGTGCTGTGCAATTATGGAGCCATTTGTGACACTTGGTGCCACTGCCCGGCTGAGTGGGGGCTCTTCACAGAGGAAAACGGTCCCTTTCCTTCCTCTGCGAGTGTTTACTGGGGCTTGACTGTATGCAGACGCTGTGTGAGGGGCAGGGGTGGGGGCAGAGTGACAGCTCCCAGCTGCAGGAGAAGCAGGTATGCCAACAGGTGACTGACCCCAGCTGGGAGAGTGCTGGGTAAGCAGAGCCATAGGGACACTGAGAAAGGGCCATCAGTCAGGAAAGTGAGTGACATTCAAGAGTAGATCACCAGATGGGAAGGAGAGAGACTGTGTGAAAAGGGAGGGACATACTCAAACACCCAGGGCCAACTCTTAAAATCTGGGGGTTTGTAGATCCTCCTTAAGGATTTTATGAGGGCTGCCTCCTAATTCTGAGGCGCCTCATAACTCTTAGGCATAACTTTACTTTTATGAGGGAGCATGTGACTCTTGATTTCGGCTTAGGTCACGATCTCATGGTTTGTGGGATGGAGTCCCACGTTGAGCTCTGCACAGAGAGTTTTAAACAAACTTTAAAAAATAGAAGAATTTTATGAAAGCCAAGGACCCTCTTCCTAGAAATACATGCACGTGTCATTATGTGCTCCGTTTAGGGCACTCACATGCCCTCTTGTGTCCTTGGAATCTAGATCAAGGACCCACAGATGGGGCTGTCCCAACACACCAGGGAACAAGGGGGTCTGCAGGGGCGGGAAATGGATACGTGGGTGACAGGACTAGGCAGTGAGCAGGTCAGATCACAAGGGGCCAGCAGTGCATGTAGGAGGTGACCATTCGGGGGTCTCTGCCCTCACCCAGCAAACAATGGCCACCACAGGGATTGAGGAAAAGATGATCAGGGAGAATGGGGTCAAACCGAGGTGACACAAGGCACAGAGGAAGCAGGCAAGTCAAGGACAGCGCCCAGGTTTCTGGCTTAGGCACCTGGCTAGTTTCTGTGATGGTGGCCAGGGTCAGTTCGTCTCATGAATTAACCCAGCTGAGCCGGCATAAAGTCTATTCATCAAAGAAAGGGGACACGCAAAACTCCTAAGTATGCGGGACACACGTCAGAAGAGCCTCTGATTGCTGGATGAACTCCATGCGTGTTCTGCTCAAAGAACACACTTGTTGAGGCATCAGATCGCCTTTTACACCTGAGGCACACAAGATGCTACATGCACCGAGTTCATCCTGGCTCAGGAAAAGGACACTAAATTACATACTCCTTCTGTCCCTTCGCAGAATTATACTCTCTGTCTCCAAGGTTATTAAAGAGGCAAAAGGATGTGGCTTAATTACAGGGTCTCTCGCGAGAGCCAACCAACGATTTGTTCAGGGCTGAGAAAGGCCACCTGAGGAAGGACTGGGAGGGCGCTGGGAAGTAAGACCCAAGGGCTGGCGGGGGACAGGGCTCAGGACACCCAATGCAGAGCAAACCAGCATTTCCAGCATCTAGCAAGTTGGGTCCCCAAATTCCCACTGGAAGTCCGTTGTTTGGAACTCTGACACATGTTGCCTCTGTAAAATGAGAATTGGGATTTAGGTACTTGGCGGCCGGGGGGCGGGGTTTGGATAATCCCAAAGGACTACTTAAAAATGACAAGATAGTTCTCTCCTTATTTTTAAAATAAAAAGCTTTCCCCCTCTTCTGAGTATTAGCAATTCATGCTCATTGAGTCATTAGAAAAATACCTAGAGAGAGAGAGAAGGAAAAACCCTAATTCTGCCACTCTCCAGTAGAAGTCATCCTCTGGTTTCTAGTTGCCTTGGTTTTTTTTTTTTTTCTAGTTAAAAACAATATAGAGTTGAATGAAAGGTAGTCACAGAGGCAAATTACAGAGACAGAAAGCAGGTGAGTGGTGGTGTGGGGCTGGGGAGGCGGGGTGGGGAGGGTTTGGAGGATGATGGCTTAGGGGTGAAGGGTTTCTTTTTGAGGTGATGAAATGCTCTCCAGTTAACTGTGGAAATGGTTGCACAACTTTGTGACTATGTCCGAAGTCAATAGGCTATGGACTTTAAATGAGTGAATTCTATGGTATGTGAATTATATTTCGATAAAGCTAGTAAAACTTTGTGTATTTAAAATTAAACCATATGTAGGGGCGCCTGGGTGGCTCAGTCAGTTAAGCGTCCGACTTCGGCTCAGGTCATGATCTCACGGTTCATGGGTTCAAGCCCCGTATTGGGCTCTAAAGTTTTATACTGTGCTTTCAGAACACATACATCTTTTTCAGTGTCTACGGCGAGATTTGGAAAATGTCTTAACAGTACTGACTTCCTCTGTATCTAACTGTCCCGTACGTAGATGGTTTGAGGAAAAGTGGAGTTAGCTCTTCAGATGTCTGGAGCACTCCCTGTGCTCTGGGTCTTTCTATTCCCTCCGGGGAGTACATGCTCATGGGGGGCAGAGCTTCTGCCCGGAAAGCAGGTATCCTGTCTGCTCTCTGTACCTCTCAACACTGGCAGAGACTTCTCTACCCAGCTTGGGACGCACCTAGGGTGGGTCCCTCGCTTTGCAGATATTCTGACCGAGGGTACAAAGGGCAGCTGGCCCTGTGGTAGGCAAAGGATAGATCTGGAAGCATCCAGGAATGCGGTCTTGTCTCTCCTGTCTGGGTTGTTGATGGGGAGGTGGGAAGGAGGGGTTGGTAATTTACACAGCAAACTTGGGGACTGCTATGGGTTGAACGGTGTCCCAGAAGATGTTGAAGTCCCAGGGCACCTGGGTGGCTCAGTCAGTTGAGTGTCCGGTTCAGCTCAGGGCATGAGGTCACCATTCCTGAGTTAGAGCCCCGCGTCAGGTGCTGTGCTGACGGTTCAGAGCCTGGAGGCTGTTTCAGACTCTGTGTCTCCCTCTCTCTCTGCCCCTCCCCCACTCATGCGCATGCATTCTCTCTCTCTCTCAAAAATAAACATAAAAAAAAAAAAAGATGTTGAAGTCCTGATTCCGAATACTTATCAATGTGACCTTATTTGGCAATAAGGCCTTTGCAAGTGATCAAAATGAGATAAGGTTACAGCGGGGGGGGGGGGGGGGCTATCTCAAAGGGGAAATTAGGACACAGAGACAAACATTCAGGGAGGACCCCATATGGACACAAAGGCAGAGACTGGGGTGATAAACACTGAGGTCTGACAGCAAACCACTGGAAGTCAGGTGACACGCTGGGGACAGAATCTCCCTCACAGCCTCAGAAGGAACCGATACTGCCCACACCTTGATCTTGGCCTTCTAGGCCCCAGAACCATGAGGAATGCATGTCTGTTGTTTAAGCTGGTCAGTGTGTGGAACCTGCTCATGGCAGCTCTGGCAGACTAACACAGGGACTGAGAGCTCCCTTCCCTTGTGTCCCCTTCCCACAAAGGCAAGACAATTCAAAGCCCGCCCTAGGAGAACAAGGTCAGGGCAATGAGCTTAATTAAATCATTAAGCAGCTCGACTACAAGGCAAGCACTCCTTATACAGTTAAGTTTCTACTTGATGCGGGGGCCCTACCCAGCCCCGCCCCCCCATACAATTTCCGAACCTGGAAGAATTTGTTGCTTCTGGGAATTTTGATACTTTCTATTCTCATTCACTCTTTTGAACACCCCTATGGTCAGCACTCTCGTCCAAGACTGGGTGTTGGAATCTGAGTTTTGGTCGATCCTCCGTCCCAGCTCCGAGGCGGGCTTCCCCTTGCTGCGGCCGGGGACTTCCTAGTTACTGCTTCTGAGTACTCAACTACCTTTTGCTCGCATCCCCGCTGCTGGAGCCTTATCCACGCTCGAAGAGAACGTGGGTGCCAGGTTCCATTGCTGGCAGGGCTCTGGGTTTAAAGGGCCGAAGGGGGGCCCCGGGGCTGGGCTGGCCACCCTGATCTGTAAGGGGGGTAACGGCGTCCACCTGCCAGAGCGGTAGGTGAACTCATGGTGGTAAGGAGCTCAGTGCCTGGCTCAGGGAAGGGCTGCCTTTGTCACGTTCAAGAGCTTTCCTGGGGTATCCATGCAGTTAGAGCCTGGGACGTGGGGCCATCCCCTTCTAGCATTCTGTGAGTGAGGGGGAGAGGGACGGTGTCGCCCTCATCCCCAAACCCTCCACCCTCCACGCCTGCCTGCTGCAGGTGCTCAGGTGTGTGTGCTGCCTGCCTTTGTGACCTTGAGCCAGGATAAGAATAGGCAGCCCAGAGCCCCAAGGTGAGGTCTTAGGGTAGATAACTGGAAGTAGGATCCAGGTGAGGTACTCTGACTACTTAAAGTGCACAGATAGCCTGAGGTAGAGAGTCTGTCTCCCATCCCCACCCCCTCAAAGCCATTGTGAGTGAGGTCAAGGTCAGGGGTGGCAGAACGGGGGGGGGGGGGGGGGGGGGGGGGGGGGGGGAGGGAAGGTGTTCGGCTTTGCAGAAGCTCTGGTTGCACTCCAGCCCCGGCCCTGGGGAAAACCTGTTCGGCTCCAGGGATCAGCCTCACCTCCTGCCACGCCCGGTTNCAGGTGAGGTACTCTGACTACTTAAAGTGCACAGATAGCCTGAGGTAGAGAGTCTGTCTCCCATCCCCACCCCCTCAAAGCCATTGTGAGTGAGGGGGGGGGGGGGGGGGGGGGGGGGGGGGGGGGGGGGGGGGGGGGGGGGGGGGGGGGGGGGGGGGAAACAGATCTGGCCAAGCTCTGGTTGCACTCCAGCCCCGGCCCTGGGGAAAACCTGTTCGGCTCCAGGGATCAGCCTCACCTCCTGCCACGCCCGGTTCCTCCCTGTTCCCT